TAGGAACTCAAAGAGAAAGGTTATGCAACAAAATACTAATCTACATACTGAAAAAGACAGCAGTGTTTGAATATTTTTAGGCTCTTTACTTAAAAAAGGTATTGCACCTTTTTTCACAAAATTTTGTTATAATTTAATGGTTAAGATTTAAACAAAGTAATTCAGAGTGATTTGGTGTGAAATGTTCTGCCCTATAGAAAGCTAGTCAGAATTGTTCAAAGTGGTGGTGATAAGAACCAGAGGTCTGCGAGCGACTGTTTTTTTAGTTCCGCTCCCGCCTGCAACCAAAGTTTTTTTTTTCCCGAATCCCACCTGCATAGTCCCATCAAGGCGAACTGACATCCAATATCTGACACCGTCTATTCACAAATACTCTGCTGAAATAACACAGCAGTCATGGTCATCAGGCTTGCTGCGAGTAACTTCATGAAACGCCATTTATTCCCACTAAACACCGAGCAGAAATTAAACCATGCTGCTGTGTTTATTAGTAAACGCCGACTTGTTTGTTTACTTTGTTTGATCTATTAGCTCTTAGCTATACTGTTCTGATGGCTCCGTTACTGTTGTTGTTACCATCACTTTTAGCTCTTTGTTTACTGGGCGACGTTAATGTCTGTTTGTTCTTAATGTTCTGAGCAGGTTTCCTCTGGGAGGAAGAATTAGCGTGTTGACGTGATCAGCTGCTTCGCAACTCTTTAGAAAGACTTTTTTCATTTTAATTGTTTTACTGTTTTCCCTCTATATTGTTTATGATTTAGTGATCAAGCTACTTTATTTAGGCTATACATTCATTTGCGGGATTTCTCTTTATGCGTGCTTCAGCCTGCTTCTGCTTACAGGTTGCTTTTTCCCGCCTGCTCTGGCGAGCAACACTTGAGTGCATTTACATGCACTTAATAATGCGATAACTGCAGAAAAAATCCCATTTTGTCAGTAATCCATCAAGGCATTTACATGCACTTGAGTAATCAGATAATGTGAAAACTCCGGGTTAATATGAGTCAGGCAGTAATCAGATTTCTGCTTTACAACCAGCCAATAAACTCGCAGAAGAAGACGCGTTGTAAACGTAACATAAAACTCTAAACTCATGCCACGGCTTTTTTTTAAACATCGCGCCATTTTACCTGAAAATATGAACATACATCATCTAAAAGATGAAGAATAATTAAATCCTTTATTTCATGTTTGGTTTCAGCACTGCTCCAAAAGTATTTTGCTGCCATCTCGCAGCAACGCTGCTTGCTTATTTCTGGTATGGCCTTTTATTCTCGGGCATACACAGACTGAGAAATTTGAAAGAAATCTGTACGAGTAAACATGCATTGAGAAATCTGATTACTGAGCAGATTTCTTAATCGGATTTCTATATCGCAATATGGCAATATGGTGTTTACATGACTAATTGAATGACTGCAGAAATCCAATTATGATCGGATTATTGAGTGCATGTAAACACAGTCACTGAAAATTACTCCAGCGCTGCAAGATGTTGTGTTGGGTCCCGCGGGAATCTGCATGAGTGCAGACCTCTAACAGGAATTTAGCCAGGGTTTTTGAATGCCAAAGCAGACTGAAGACTTTCTGAAAGACTAACATCTAAACATCTACAGCGTTGAAATGTGATGTGTGAATCAGTTGAATTCCCCTTTAATTTGTAGAAAATAATAGCATTAAAATTGCAATCACAGTATTGGTCAGAAAATTTATCATATTGTCACCAAACACTTTAGCCCTACAACAAGCATACACATCACAAATAAAACTCAATGACCAAACAATTACATTTATACAAAACGGTTGGGAAAAAATGGTGGGTATACAAATGTGGGTACTAATGATTCTAAAATGCAAGCACAAGCATAGCTGAAAACAAGAATGATGGATAATAAAGACTGTGTAAGCACAGAACTGCAAGTATAATATTGGTAGCCTACATGCAACATTGTTGGATGCGTACCTGATAATATTGTGGTTGTACTTGCAACACATTGACACTAACGGTCCCGGAACAGAGTACTTGCTGAGAATAACACAAGCCATACTTGACAACCTTGATACCAGCAGTGTCAACATGATGCATTGAGGCTCTTTTTCTCATCCACTGCACGCGGTGGCCCTCGGACTGAAGACACCCCTTGACTGTTCGTGGAACAGTGGTGAAAACATCTACAGCCTTCCCAGGAGTGGCCGTCCGACCAAAATGACCCCAAAAGTACAGCGACGACTCATCCAAGAGGTCACAAAAGGCCCCACAACAACATCCAAAGAACTGCAGGCCTCACTTGCCTCAGTTAAGGTCAGTGTTCATGACTCCACCAAAAGAAAGAGACTGGGCAAAAACGGCCTGCATGACAGAGTTCCAAGACGAAACCACTACTGAGCAAAAAGAACATAAAGTCTTGTCTCAGTTTTGCCAGAAAACATCTTGGGGATCCCCAAGACTTTTGGGAGAATACTCTGTGGACTGACGAGACAAAAGTTGAACTTTTTGGAAGGTGAATGTCCCATTACATCTGGCGTAGAAGTAACACAGCATTTCAGAAAAGGAACATCATACCAACAGTAAATTATGGTGGTGGTAGTGAGATGGTCTGGGGCTGTTTTGCTGCTTCAGGACCTGGAAGACTTGCTGTGGTAAATGGAACCATGAATTCTGCTGTCTACCAAAAAATCCTGAAGGAGAATGTCCGGCCATCTGTTCATGATCTCAAGCTGAAGTGCACTTGGGTTCTGCAGCAGGACAATGATCCAAAACACACCAGTGAGTCCACCACTGAATGGCTTAAGAAAAACAAAATTAAGACTTTGGAGTGGCCTAGTCAAAGTCCAGACCAGAATCTGATTGAGATGCTGTGGCATGACCTTAAAAAGGCGGTTCAGGCTCGGAAACCCTCCAATGTGGCTGAATTACAACAATTCTGCAAAGATAAGTGGGCCAAAATTCCTCCACGGCGCTGTAAAAGACTCATTGCCAGTTATCGCAAACACTTGATTGCAGTTGTTGCTGCTAAGGGTGGCCCAACCAGTTATTAGGTTTAGGGGCAATCACTTTTTCACACAGGGCCCTGTAGGTTTGGATTTCTTTTTCCCTTAATAATAAAGATTTTCATTTATAAACTGCATTTTGTGTTTACTTGTGTTATCTTTGTCTAATATTTAAATTTGTTTGGTGATCTGAAACATTTAAGTGTGACAAACATACAAAAGAATAAGAAATCAGGAAGGGGCAAACACTTTTCCACACCACTGTATAGAGCTGATGTTAGTGTTTTACAATCCTGCACCTTGTGGACTCACAGCAATGCATATTTTATAGGTCCAATCTGTCACACCTAATTCACCTTATCAAGCATTCTGCTAATGAGATTATAACTTTAATCAGGTTTGATAGGGAAGATGACATTCGAAATGTGCAGTGCTCTGAGTCTCCAGGAGTAACATGGTAAGGTAGAGTTAGGCAGCTAGAATCAGCGTTGTAAGAAAGAAATCAAGCATCGGCTTATATCTGCACAAACAACCAATAAAGCAATAAATACTAGTATCTGGTGTGAACTTACATAAAAACAAAGGAAGCATAAGCAACTTACAATTGGAAACATTCCACTGGCGTGCTCTTCAGCCATGGTCCTTCATCGGCATGTACTGTTCACAAAGAAGCCCCTCCCAGTGACCTCAGAGATGTTTAGTGATTTGCCAGGAGTGAGTTCGATTACATCTACGCTTGTTTGCTCTTCCCGAGTACCCCAGATGTTTCTCAACCTCAATTTTACCACCTGAACTTCACAACCTGAAATTCCCAACCTGAAAAAGCATCAGGAATTCGGCTTCACTGTTACAAGTTCAGGTTCAGAATAACGAATTCAGGTTTTGAATCACAAATTCAGGTTCTGGTGACACTGATTTAACTCCATAATATGTAGGGACAGATGACAAGTTGAACATCACCACAGATATCAAATAATTAAATTACTTTGATCTGACAGTGAAGCTATAGCTATAGCCTTATCCAAGATCAACCAAAGCATATGGCCAACATTTCACTTTACTTTTAAGCACTTGCTTCTATACTGACCCAAAGTGCTGTTAATATATTCGTCATGATTCCAGGTGCCATCAAGTACTGTCAACAACTTATTAAATTATTAAGGTAGGATAATTTATATTGAAATTTGTTTCACATGTAGTTTAAAGTTTAAGTTTCCTTCACTTCCTCAGTGATGCTAGAAACTGAGTATTCTCTCAAGCAGAGTCCTACCCATAGAATTGACACCATATAAAGAAATACATTTATGATTAAACCTCATTTTCTTCTTCAGCTTTCAATAATTTCAGTATAGTTACTCCCCTTGAAGACACAGTTTGGTCAAGTTTGTTTCACGCTTATTTATAGTGTCATATAAATGGACAAACCTAATTCTAACAATAAGCAGTATCTACACTCAGTGCTATACTATTGCAAGATATGAACATATGTAATGTTAAAATTGCAATGTGAAAGACAATTTAGGTGACACTTTTACTGTTTTGGGTTACATGATTTATTTGCATTAAAATGAGAAAGTCCTCAATGTTATCAGTTTATTAATCAACATCCATAACTAACTGCAACCAACTGGTCCTGGAGTGAATTCATATTTTAGTGTTATCCCTGCTTATCAGTGAATTAGAGCATAACTTCACCAATTGTCTACAGTTCTTCAAAACTCAATCACTGAAATGTTAAAAAAGTAATTTAGAGTGGTCTGATGTGAAATGGTGCATTGTGAAGAAACTTACTGAGTCAGATTTGTGTGGTGGTGATGGGATCACAATGCAAATATAGCCAACAAAGAGGCTATACGACCAATGAACCGAAAACGCACTTTGAGTTTTTATATATAATTTAGATAAAGGTAAAAGACATAACTCTAAAAATTTGTTTATGGATGTTATTTTGCCTTACAACACTCTGCATGGACCTCTCTGCCATTGATTGTTTTGAAAAAATATGTTTAAGTCCAAACATTTTCATAAATCAAAATTATCATAAAACAGTATCTCAGACATTAGACAATGTATTTGTAACCATTTCATGTAATAACATTATTTGAGGTAGAATTAAACACTTTAGTGTCTGGTTACTATCACCATGGCCAATGCCAAGCAGAGACCAAAGTTCCCTGCATTTGAGCGCTGTGGCTGAGTTCAATTAAATATTAGCATATATAATATGCATATTATATTAATATAATAATATAATTAATATAATAATATAATATGCAGCAAGGCAGGGTCAAACTTTGTATTCATACCATTGATTTCAGAAGAAACATTGGATTGGCAGGTGTCTACAAACATTTTTTTTACATTGAATGTAAATAAATGAAATAAACATATGCTTATATGTCCACTTTCATTCTGGTGTAAAGATTATAAAAATAGCTTACATGACATCAGTTTATAAATGCAGATAATGCAGATAAAGATAGGCCAAGCTGCCTTAGCACTGACTATGTGGCTTTATACCAGAGGTTAAATAAATACAATAATTGGGTCCCTTTTTTGCCCAGATTATTATAGACTATTTTAAATGCTACATGCCATGTACTCATACAATAACAAATGTCATCCAAAGGTTCCTTAGAAGAATTTAGAAGTTTAAATCCTGCCCACTGTAGGTGTATATTTTTTCCCCATTTCCATTTCTCATGCTATATATTGCATCACCAGATATGATGGAAAACCCAAGTGACACTATTTGTGGAATAAATTCTCACTGCCACACTTGTTCCAAGTCTGAATATGTTTATCAGATTGCACATACAAACCAGGTTTTTCCATAAAATTGTGCATTTTCCCAAACACTACTAATGAAAGCCACATCCATATCTGGTCATCTTTAAATTAGCCTGCAGTGGGGCAGGTTAGTGCCATCTGATATGTAAGCATCCAAAAAGACAGATAATCTTGTTACTCTTGAGGTTATACAGTTTACTCATGTTTGGGAAAGAAGTTATCTGGTTGGATTAGATGCAATCAGGGCATTTTGTCCGGCTGGAGCTCGTACTTCGTCCTGCTGTCGTTATCCCGTGAGAAGTCTGTGCCTGGGCATCGTGTATGGATTTTATACCACAGCAACAAGACTGCTATTACGCCAGCAACCTGTTCAATTATAAATTATTAAAAATTAGGAAAAGGTACATTGGCACTTCTCCAATTTGAGGACAACATGATTAGTACAGAAAAGGTATAATTCTTCTTGTAGCCATTACCCATTAGACCTCAAATGAATGGTAAACAACTGTTCAATAACCAGAGAGCCTGGCTTAATTTCAGTTTCAGTTCCATTTGTCAGTATTTTGGGAACTTTAACTCTTCATTGAAATGTTTCATTTTCACTGATACTTTTCAATTAAGGAAAGGTTTTGTTGCCATAACACAGGCATTTGCTAATACTTTGGGTACATTTTGCTTCAACTCTCAGCTTCATTGATATGGAAGTAAAATGTCTTTGTATAATGTCTTAATAATGATTTGACAGTTTTCTTTTTACATTATTACTAAAAATACATGTAAAAAATCTTTGGACCCAAAGGTGGTTTAAACACCTAAAAGGCTTGAGTGCTGATGAGGGCTGGCATCACAACAAGCAGGATAAAATTAATGGGCTTTGACATTATTTCCAAGCTAGTATTGTCATAAATATTATAAAATGTTTGATATTGTTTTTTTCTAAATACACCTACTTGGGGATAGATTTACTAAAAGAGGCATTAATTACGGTCAGTCTACTGACACTTCGTGTAGATGGGGGTGGTCCAGTCAACAGCAGTGTTTATGTAACTACCATGTTTCTCCCAGGCCTAATGGAAAATCTAGATAAACTATAATAAACTATGTTACCCTATTTTTTTCAGGAGTGACATGAATAGCCTAACCTCCATCTGTAACCATAAATCTTACTCAAAATGAACAACACTGCAAATGGTTGTGTGTAATGATAAGCACTTCAGTTAACAGCGATTACCTTAGAAATGGTTTTCCGTAAAAAAAAATATAACGTTATCTTTGCCTTTAAAATGACCATGATATTTTGTATAAAACCTTTCTTGTCTGAGACTATGTAGTAACCATGAAATAAAGGGTTAAACCAAGTTGGGCTGGTCAAACTCACGTTAAACTGAAAGAAGAAGAGTTCCTAAAATAATATGACATGGTTTCAGACTGGTTGAGAGTGATTAATCATGATTACTGAACATTCACAAAGACAGAATGAAGTAATTACAGGCCTTTTTTTGGCTTACGCCACTGTACTTGTGGATTCTGAAGGCCATCTTCTAGAATAAAAATCTTGTTGCCGGTTTTTAAATGCAGCAAAAGCTCTGACGACCATTGACAGCCAGCCAAGCACAACACTGTTCCAGAAATCAGTAGTGCCCAATCATCTGAGTGTCAGGCTATTTTTCCTGGCGTGCTAGCTCGTCTTCTTCCACGGGGGTGTTTTTCTCTGCGCTAGTAGTTATCTTTGTGCGCGCGAAAGTAATTTTCCTCGCGCGAAAACGTCGTTCCTCGCTTGCAAATTTTGAATTGCATTTCACGCCATAATAATTTGTATGTCTGCCAGGTAGAAAAAAAGACTTTTTATTCTTCTGTTTCACATTCAAACTGTGACTCATTAGGTCTAAATAATGTATTTTCTCAAGCTTCTGGCTTAATAAGTCAAGGTTTGTCAAGAGTTGAAAGAGTTTTCATATTTACTTTTAATAATTATTCAGAAAAGAAAACTATCAATTACTTAGGCGAAATCTGCGCTTTGATAGTGTTGTAAAATCCACCCAAAATATTAAGAAAAGAACAATTTAATTTTTTTCTAAAAGTTTTTGGTTTTAGATTTCATCACATTAAGAATAAAGAGATATGAATTACAGGCATACACAAGTGTCTTTATCCATTGCAAATATATGAATATGTTTGAAAAAACTTTTCTGTCTCTGAGCACAAAATCAGACAAGCTTTTCACAGGCATTAAATAGCACACGGCCAGTTTTTACTATAAGTCTTGGTAAATCAGAATAACTGCTTCATTATAATAATCTCTTCCTAGTATTTTGCACATTGAGAAGTAAACTACTGTACATTAAGAAGCAATAAGAAAAACATGCAGGAGAGCAGCAACCACCCCTCTGATCTTTTCATAGGCCCTAAAGGACTGTTGTGTCTGCTTAGTAAATTGCAACAACCAATTTGCAATGCTAAAATGGTGTAAAAGCATCAAAGACATAATGCTCACTCACATTAAAAACATTTTGAAAAGCTATAGGTTGTTCCTAAACTTTTGAAGAGCAGTGTATACTTTACACTTTTTCTGTATACTGTAAATCTCCATGTCATTTAGTACCCATCACTTTGCTTGAAGTAAATGTGAATAATACTAGGAATTCATTATCAAATAATCTTGTAATGTGACAGCATAAAACTCAAATGTGCAAATGTGCTAGATTGAAAGCTGATCATGATTTACTTCCTTTTATGGTTCGTTAGCACACAGGCAATACTGTTCCAGATTTTCTTTTGTCTCACCTCAATAGTTGCTAATGTAAAAAGTATTCCAAGTAAGATCCGTAAGCAGTTCTTCGCATATTCCGTTAAGATTGGCCCACAGCTCTGTGGAAGACAGATTCTGTTATTTAAGCATGATAATGGCCTGACCAATAAGAACATTTTGTGACCAGTACTGATAGTGATTTTAATAAGATAAAAATGCAAATTTAATGATATTGGTTGATACACAGCACATTAAAATAGTCAGAGGCTACCATTCATTTAATTTCCAGCCAAAATGGCCATGAACCCTTAGAAGCCTAGGGTAATTTGGGGTAATTGTTTGGTATTTGGCTCAATTACAAATGCAATAATAAGTATTTACAAGTACAAGTATTTGCATGAGAAAATCATAAATGCCATTTGTGGTTGTTTTCAGGAGACCCTAGGCTACTCAGATAAGCCATTATTTGGCATGCAAATGCTAAAAGAAACTGGATATCTTTATAAATTTGGCTAATTTCTGATCAAACATTTACCTAGCACCTGCACCTAGTGTCACCTCAGATATCTTTTCAGAAATTGTTAGTCTGGAGTGTGTGTGAGCTGAAAGTGCAAGAATGTGATGGTGATTCATTCTATTGGTCATTATTGAGTAAAAATTAACAATTAGCATAAGGTGGCCATGTTTTTAATGATTTTCTGTCCTCCAGGATTCATGCTGAGTGTTATATTTCTGATACATAGTAAGACAGGCTTTACTTTTAATTACAAATTAAGTTGCATATTTAATATCAGATATTTTAATACTCAAAATCAATGTAAACTGAACAACAGGGCTAAACATTATTTTTATGATAATGTATATGATATTTGTTGTTATTTATCTGTATATGGCCGGTTTTGTGTAATTTTGAGAGAAAGTTTTAAATCCACTCACTGTAGTGGATTGGAACACCGACTTTTGTTGTGTATTTTCAACCCTCCCCCAGAGAGCATGCACAGAGCAAAAGGTTAGCGTGTAGTCTCATTTTTAAAAGTGTGACTGCATTTTGTGTCGTAATTAGGTGTATTTAGCTGTTTCTGATTATCAGCACTAAACCCAGAGTCTGGGTCGGTAAGACACAAGGATAAGTTCCAGATCATACAGTGAGGCATTTTAATGGACATAAATGCAGGATTTGAATGGTGGGTTTCTGAACTGGATTACTGACTGAATCTGTGTTTGATGATGTATTTCTTGGGGTGTGTTGGTCACAGCTGGGTTTTCTCACTCTGGCTATTGATGGCAGGCTCTGCTGAGTGTTTTGATGTGTAAATCATCTCGCTATTTCTAACCCTTTGTTTATAATATGAAGGTTAAAAGCAGAGATATAATGGCAGTGCGAGGCCTTTTTAACACTTTGTTGAAATATGAAAGCTAAAAGCTGAGCAATAATATCAGGATTTGGAGCCAAATTACTCACTGATGCTGACATCACAGCTCAACATTATGCTAGCTAGTAAGGGCTGCTGAGTGTTCTGATATGTGCATCATGTCTGTAGCTTAAACTGTTCTGAAGTTATGAAGGCTAGAAGTCAACTACATAGTTGCCCGTAAGGGGTTAAGTACTTCATTTTTCAGCATCAGGAAAAAAAATAACCAACCTAATTAAGTGAATACATTTTTTAGTTTTTAATGTACCCTTTGCATTTCTTTTCCGTTCCTTTCAGAAGACTTTCTTTCAGTTATTCAAAGAAATTTGCATGAATATTTTTCCACCAGGTTTAGTCTTAGAAGTTGCATTTTCTTTTCTGCTTCTCACCAAGTATCCAAGTATTCTGGGCTCTGACGGTCAGTCCTTTGTTCTGAAAACACAATTTTCTTCTTTTGTATTTTTTCTCAGTAATTTTTTTCTCAGCTTTTTGACAGCTGCACATCCTTTCAGACCCATAGCGAGTTCTCTTCTCACAGTGGAAGCATAGAAAGAAACACCTATGGATTTTTGCAGGTATTAAGCAGGTATGGAGCTTGATTTTCTCCTCTCTCTCAAAAATGAAAGCTTTTAAGCAGCATTATGCGAGAATTGGTACTTTATGATGTTGGGGCCCCACTGCAGTTGCGGAATGTATTGCACTTTTACACCACTGTCATAAATACAAATCACACGTTAACTCCCCCTTATGGACAGCTGTACATATGCATTTGTTGATGATCTGAAACATGCAGAATCAGTACACGTGTCACGCAGGCATATGGATGCTATAGCTCACACTCGCAATTTCCGGAGTTTCTCTGCGTAAATAATAGAAATCACAAGTGTGCACGCGAAGGGGAGCAATTCTGCAAAGACGACATCAGAAGAGACAAAACATCGACTTAAAAGGTAGAGTAATTTTCCAGGATTTTATTACAGGAGGTTGCAAATTTTCCGGGCCTATTAGGCATGAGATTGACAAAGACTGACCAAACGTTTTGACTTGATATTGAATTATTTCTTTGCATGCTAACCTGAAACAGGACTGAGGTTAGATGACTTTTGCCATCTAAAAGAACTACAAAACTTGGTAAGACAGGGATGACACAGATAAGTTTACAGTCTTTGGTGCAGTCTTTCATAAATAGCATTGGTAGAGATGAACACACTGCGGTCAGATTTTCATTGTTTTCCTGTTGGCAGTGAGACTGTCTTGGTCCCTTTCATCTCTTTTAACTCTCGCCAACCAGTAAAAGCCAGCGAGAAGCGAGATGTACTCTTGTTCGGTCTTTTGCTTGGTCACGCTCTCTTTTTTCTCTTCCTCGTTTCTTCCAACGTCTTCTTTGGTCTCTTTGCGGCCTTTGCCATGATATCCATGCTAGGAATACAGAGCTAGCTTCTACTTATAGCTAGCTGAAGACCCATAATCATTGGTGTGTGAAATGGTGCCATACAAAAATATGCATTCTCAAAAGAGGTCTCGTGCCTGTGCCCATTCTGCCTATTATAAGTCAGTGTATCATCAAAATGTTTTTGTAAGCTGTTATTTTAAGGTAAATTGTTTCATAATGTTGCTTTTTAAGTACTGATGGCAGTACTGTTTAAGTACTGATGGCAACAGTTTTGGTGGGCTAAGAGATCTTGCATGATGGTCACGGATGGTCACCTTTTCTCTGTATCTTTGAAAAAACTTGGAAAATGAGCAAAGCGTTAGTTCAAGCAGGCCAAGAAGTCAAGCTCAGGCCACCATCTCAAATCACCAGCTGTTATCAGCTGATCACAATCAGCTGATGCCTCAGCTGATCGCCTGCCACATAAGGAATTGACTAAATTTGTCACAGTGTTTATTTAAGCCTAGCTTAGCCTGCCCATTATTGCTGTTTCCTCTGCAAGCCACTTTGCATCCTTCCCTTATGAGAACCAGGCTGTCCATGTACACACTTCCAACTTGCCCTGCTGCTTGCCTTGTCGATTCCCACCCACGATAGGGATCCATGGCAGCAGCAAGCTTCTGAAGTGGAAGAACCGAATGGTGAAGAGAATGCAGTTTCCATTTGCCAGGGCTCTCATCTGATCCTTCTGACTCCACTGTCCCCAAGAAAGTAAATGAGAAAAAGAAACATAGTGCTCACAACTCCGCTGTAGCCCCAGCTTCAGCTGCTGCTTCACCATCCATGAGGGCTCAAGGCCTAGCCCAAGCGGCCAGCAGCATGGACAGGGGGGTGACATTTTGTCAGTCCATCTGTCAGTCATCGCTTGCCATTGTAGACTGCAGATTCCAAACTCCAGAATCCTATCCGGCCCCAGCCAGCTTGCCTTCTGCCTCAACCGCAAAGTTGGCGTCTTTATCACTACATTACCCCAGCAGGCATCAATGACATCATAATCCTACCAAGACCGCCGGGAGCTGCAGTTCCAGTCTCCAGTAGGGTTCCATTCTTACCTCTTGCTGGTACTGTTTCTCCCCTCCACCTTAGAAACCTAAGTGGCTATTAGATGATGTACAGATGCAGCCCCTTCCATTGGTCTTAGGGTTTTTTCTATAATCAGTGGTTTGCTGATGTTTGGCCAAAAGAACTGGCTTCTTTACCAGCTAACATTTTTAACTGCTATAGCTTGTTTTCTGTGGGGTAAACATTGGTCTAGGAAACAATTGCTTTTTAATGACAATGAGGCAACTGTTAATATCATTAACAAGGACGCTCCTCTTTTATTAATAATTTGTAAGGCGCCTCACATGGTCATCAGTACTGGGTAATTTCACTGTTCGAGCTGCTCATATACTAGGTTTGAATAACCAAAGTTTGAATTTTACAATATTTCGCCAGCTCGCCATCTTGGCTGATCCACCCTTCATTCATTCATGTGGTGCTAGATTCAACACAACTGCTGGGCTTAGACCACACAAGTCAAGCTTAGGCCACAATCCCAAATCAGCAGCTACCATCACCTGATCTCAATCAGCAAGTTCATCGGGGCACTTATTTAAGCTGCTTTAGCCTGCCTGTTCTCGCTGCTTCCTCTAGAAGCCACTTTGCAACCCGCCTCCACATCCAACTCCTTTATGCTGTGTCTGTCTTTATGTCATATTTTTTTTGTCATTGATGTCTGCTGTGTTCTGTACCCTATATGAGGGTCTTTCTGCTGCTCACAGAAGGGCAGGGAGGTCCCAGAACAAAACCGTACTGCTAAATATAACACTGCAAATGGGAATAAAATATTTGCTTTGACAAAGTGGTCCTGACTTAACTCCTGTTTTTTCTTTTGACAAGTGCAACCTCCTCACACAATTTATGTAGTTCATCAAAACTTCTCAGAAACATCTTCTGAAAAATGAAACTTGAATAAATGAAGGGCAGTCTCTGAATTTTGCATTGTATTGTGTATGGCAAAAAATTAAACAGACTGTAATAGTTGTCAGACTTCAATAGTCCAACAGTGCATTACTGACACTGACAATCATATGAAACTATCAAATACCTTAAACTATTTCAAATCATCAGTAATGTTTCTCACGTCAGTGGTATTCATTCATTATAACATAAATGCAACTTTTTGGTCTGAGTTTTTGCTAATCCTGTAAGATCTATAGAACCTCAATATATAATTTATAGTCAGGCCTTAGTGGGAAGACTAGGAAAAGCACCTTTAATCTCTTACCATCTTGTAAACATAGTATTCTGTATCCTTAGGTGTTGCTGGTTCACTGTGAGCATTTCTGATCCACTGCATAAAGAAAACAGTTACACACACTGTAACAGACTAGCTGATAGCTCAATGGTTAGGACAAAGATAGTAAAATCCCTATAATAATAACTGTTTTAAGGACTGAATGACATTATTTTAAACATTTACCAAAATTTAAAAGCTTGCTTCACCACATTTTATCAAGTTCCTTAGGTCCATGTATTAAAATATCTGATATTTGAATTTATTTGTTCAAATTGTACTTTATAAGAAATTTTGAGAAAAGATCTCTTGGTGATATTGCCTGTAAAAAGTATACTAATGAGTTAAAAAATAAAATATTTCTTTTTGCAGGGATTAAGCTCTGGTATGCACTTAAAGGAACAGTTTGCAAAAAATAAAATTGACATGATTTTACACTTACTCCAAATGCAGTCGATCAACCAAGACATCCAAATTTTACGTTTTAACTGGATGCTAGACTAGCGTCACTAACAAATGCTGTAAATCAACAGACACCCTAAACGTTTCCATAAATACATGAATTAAAACTTCTCTCAATCCAATCAATTTGCATCCAGGTCTTAATTCAGGTTGGAAAGCAGACATGTGGTTCAGAATACAGTATCACTCCAGATGAACAAAGACTTTTTTTTAGGTTTGAGAGAAGTTTCAGCATGTATTTACAATTTATGACATAGTTAGGACTATGGACACCCAGTGTTTGTTAGCACTGTTAGCCAAGCATCTCCAGTGGAAAACTAAAGCTTCAAAGTTTGGCACAAAACATGTCTTAGCAGACTGACTGCATTTAGAGTAAGCAGAAAATTTAATTTATTGCCAAAGTATACCTTTAAACCTTTGATGTTGATCAACTGTTGATAAACTGTTGACTGAGGGTGTTCAAACTTTTGCATACAACTGTAAATGGACTCCAGACTAACACTGCCCAGTCATCCCAGGAAGGATAAAAATCAGTTTTTGGATGCTTTCAGGCAGCTAGGTGCATTAAAACTTAAAATCTGTAAAATATACAAAAAACATGCCTGTTTTTCATGCCAGTCATAAACATAGTAATGTTTTTTTAATTTTTTATTATTTTTTTTTAAATAGGTAAATGATTGTGTCTGCTAAAATTGAGAAAATGTATTATTTATATAAGACAAATAAATAATAGGCACTAAGTGATAAATGAAATAAGGTAATATAACATTATTTTTAAAATTATTTTATCTTTTTGGAAATTAAGTAAACAAATTTTTATTTAATATAAATTACAAGCTTCCCTTTTTAACTGTATGTTTTTTTGTATTGCCATTTTTTTAATTTTGTAATTTAGCAACAATTTCAACTGAAAAAAAAGCAATAGTGCTGTAAACAAAAACAATTTATAATTGGAGATGGGATTTTTTTTTTAATTCAGATATACATTATTTAAAGTTAGCTCTATCTGAAAAAAAAAACATTACTTTAGTCGATTATTCCAAAAAATAAATAAATGAAAAGGATTTTCATTGTGTAAGCCAACAAAAATTATAATGGCATGAAATTATATACTGAAATATGTGCAAAGAAATACATAAAACACCACTGTTAAATTTTATGTGAAAACATACCTCATTGTTGTGGAACTTTGGAACACTGACACATTTGTCCTCTCTTCCTGGGTAGTCTGGAGGACAAAAACATGAATGTGGTATCTCATCTTTCCAGTCAGTGTAATCATCTAAACCACAGCACTGAGCCTGTTAACAAAAATAAAGACAGAGGTAAGAGACTAATGTGCAGCTATACCTGTCATATTTTTTAAGCACATAAAAAACATACACACCACTACTTGAAATTGTAGTATCCTTAGTAGTAATTATATGTACCTTCTGTTGTAGTTTGTTAATCTCTCTCTGGAACACTGCATCTGTGTTATAAAGTGAGGCCATTCTGCCAAAGCTCTGTTCAATCTCCCTCTTCAACTGATTAAACAACAACAGAAATGTCCAATCAACATTTCCATTGAAAGAAAACCTGATTGCTCATGCTGAAAAGCAGCAATGGGCTTTAAACACTGATGACATAATTTAAGAAGGTAGGCCCAAACCTGTGGCTGAGCAAGAGTTGCTATGATTGCCAAGACCATGAGGACAGTGAACTCAATAGCCATGAAAACACTGTACTGTGGAGAAAAAGCAAACATACAAAACACAAAATGAGCTTTCAGTATGTGTTGTTTTGGTTAAAACACTGCCCGTGTTAATGGAAAGGAATGCTTTTGGATCACTAGTCTTGACTGATATTTATTAGAATGCACTTGTTAGTCTGCTAAGTTATTATTATTATCATTATTATTATTATTATTATTATTATTATTATTATATACTTAGGACAACCTATAATAATGGCATATTGTGTATTGAATGTAGCTTAAAGATGTTAAATGCATAATTGAGAAAAATCACATTTTTCTGGAAACACGTGCTGTATTACTTTTGCAAACATCCAATAGGCTACCTCATTTAGTACACATTTTTATTCTGTTGCAGCTCCTTACAAACCTGAGCCAAATAATAAGCTAGGAATAAACTGTACTTCCCCCCTTACCTCAAATGTTGTTGATAGCCAAGACATGTTTGGTGTCTAAAATCTTTAGTTTTGCCCCAGAGCTGCAAGACTAAGGAGACTAACAGGAAATAAAAGTGTACTGCCAATTAATATTATATAAACTGCATGCCTGCATCATCACACACTTAAATCAGAACCTCAATAAAATTGCTTATGTGGCTTCTGGCACTGTATGACAAGGGTGTCCATTCTTATTCACAAAATCCTCTCTTAGCCTTGGTTATATCCCAAAAACTCTTAATATAGCAGTAATTAGACCTCTGATTAAGAAAGCTAACCTTGATCCCTGCGAACTATCAAATTATAGATCTATCTCGAATCTCCCCTTTATATCAAAGATCTTGGAAAAAGTTGTGGCAAAACAATTAAGTTCCTATTTGCATAGGAATCATATACTGTAAAGAATCTTGTATTATTCTCTGACCAAGGAAATGTGTCTTTGCTAGTCCTCCTTGATCTTAGCGCGGCATTTGACACAACAGACCATATATATATATATATATATATATATATATATATATATATATATATATATATATATATAAATAGATAGACCAGAAAACCTTGTAGGGGTAACAGGAATAGCTCATTCCCGGTTCAGATCTAGATTACTGTAATGCCCTGCTGTCTGGATGTTCCAGCAAAAGCCTTAACAAGCTTCAGCTGGTCCAGAAAGCTGCAGCCAGAGTGCTCACAAGAGCCAGAAAGTTTGACCATATTAGCCCAGTTTTATCAAACCTACCCTAGTTGCCAGTTAAATTTCACATCGATTACAAAATTCTTTGACTGACATATAAAGCTGTAAACGGGCTCGCCCCTCAGTACCTGAGTGAACTTCTCTCATACTATGAACCATCACGCCTACTTAGATCACAAGGTGCTGCCTTACTATTAGTACCTAGAATTAATAAAGTTACATCGGGGGAGAGCCCCCCAACTTTGGAATAATCTTCCAGTCAGTGTTCGGGACTCTTTAAGTCTAGGCTACAAACGTACTTGTTTAGTCAAGCCTTTGGTAATTAGTTTTCCCTGTTAGATAAAAGGTGCAGATCTGGGGGTTCATGGACATAGAGTATTATGGTAAACTGGGAGTGTTGTCCTGCTGCTCTCACGCGTTCACTCAAGTTTGCTGGCAGTGGAGCGGAGGGGCACTGACATCTCAGGGAGCCCTCATGTCTCTGTTACCTTTCTGGTTTCTCCCTTTTAGTTAGGCTGTAATAACTAGACCTGCCAGAGTCTGCACTCTGTTAATACTGTAATCTGTGATCAGTCACCCTTTACAGAACTAACTCTCTGTGTGTTTTCCTTTTCTTTGCCGAGTTGAACAGTTGCCCATCCTGTGCGGTGTGATGCTGTTGCTTCTTCTGCCTTGATCAGGTGCCCACTGCTCACCAGCCTTCTGGACCGGCTTGACCACCATTGAGCTTCAAGCTGTACAGCTATGCAAACCTCACCCTCATGAACTGACCCTCCTGATGATGCTGCAGCTGCTGCATAAACTAAAACTAATCTAATTAACCACCTCCGCCTGTTTTCCCCGTTTTGTATTATAATATTTTATACTAATGCTGTTTGCTATCAGAGGAGGATGGGTTCCTCTCAAGGTTCCTTCCTCTTGCTCTTAGGGAGTTTTTCCTTGCCACGGTCACCTTTGGCTTGCTCATGGGGGCTTGGACCCAGATTTTTCTGTAAAGCTGCTTTGTGACAACACCTGTTGTAAAAAGCACTATATTTAATAAACTTTGACTTGACTTGACTTATCAAAAGGTTGTGTGACTGCAGGTTTTCACTCCAAATAAGCCATCTATTTTCACTCATTATTCAGTTGGTCTTTTTATAGATAATGCTCTCATACAGTCTCATATAAGCAAGCCACATAAGCAAGTCTACTTGAGATTACTTTACAAATTTATACAGTTTGAGGCAAGTGTGAAATGATTTAAGCATGCATTTGGCACAATACTAACAGATGAAGATTACATGTTACCATCATTAGCCTCATAGCTCTACTTCAACATGAAAAGTTTTGAATGCCAAGCTTATTACCTACATTTGGGGTAAGAGGAAAATTCTGCAAATTTGAATTACATGACTCACATGCAGGTACAACATGAATAATGGAATACAGGTATGGAATTGTAAAATACTATTCTAAAGCCCTTGATTAAAACCTGTTTTAGAGATAAATGAGAACTAGCAGTGGGTCCCCAGTGAACATACTTTTTTCATCACAGTCTTTCTCATCTAATGTAGTCTTTGTAAGTCTTTCATCAACTTTACTGGCTTTAGTGAATTATTGCTGCTTTTGCTTCTATTTAAGATAATATAATATTAACAAGCTGATGTGTGTGGAGTTTACAAGTTTGCATGTATATGCAGACCAGTGTTTCCCAGTATAGTCCTTTAGGGTCAAGTTAAGTCAAAGTTTATTTATTAGTGCTTTTTACAACAGGTGATGTCAAATCTGGGTCCAAGCCCCCCCATGAGCTTGGGAAAAAGGGGAACCCATCCTTCTCTGGTGGACACCAAATAGCAAAGCAATAACAAGAGTAGTATAAACAGAGAATAAGATTTTGCCTTTAATATAAAATATTAAAATAAAGAAAAAGGAAAAAAACAGCCTGTCACTGGACAGAAGTATTTAGATTAAGCAATGATAACTGATGACTAGTGTTAGAGGCCTATCAGAGTGAGAAACAGTGAGAAACAGATCAGTCACTGTTACCAGGGTTTGCAGATGATCCAAATCTTTCTTTTATCCCAGGTCCCAGCACAAATGTCCCAAGCAATGAAGAATGCTATATAGCTGGTATAGTTGTGCTGGGGACTGGGATCGGGCAAAAAATGCAGACTGTCTCAGGATCCCTGAGGACTAGATTAGAAAACACAACCCACTACATGTATTCTGCCTCATACAGAGGAGGAAGGCACATCTAAGCATGTGTGTAGTTGACCGCTTTCCAAAACTGAAGTCACATGATGGGGAGATTTCATAGGGCACTTGCTCTAACAACTACAGTGACTGACAGGGAATTAAGCATAGTTCACGACTACACAGCATGGAAAGGAATACATAAGGAAGTAAAAAAATATATATAGTCCAGTCTAGGCTCAATCCCTGATGAGGAAACCAACCCATGAGTTTCTATATAATAACATAATGAATATGGCTTATTTTTATTTTGTTTACTTTTATATAACATAAAATACTTTAACTTTTACTTGAACAAGCTAAAATACTTTCACTAGTGAAATTTCATGACAAATAGAAGTAATATTTGGAAAAAAAGCACTGTTTGCAATCATACCATAGTAATGTCAATCACAAATCATCAGTTGTTCAACATTTAAAAATTTAAGAATCTTCACAGAACATAAATATTCCACACTAATTTAAGAGTTCTTCCTAGGATGTTTACATTATGTGGATTTTCTTAGAACTTTAGTAAGGTTCTTCTCACTCACATCTTAGTTACAAAAATGGTTCTCAAAATTCATCCACTGAAAGTTCTTTTAGGGAACCAAAATGGGTTCTTCTATGGCATCAAGCAAATAACTGTAAAAGTAAGTACCTTTACTTTTAAGAATGTTTCTAATGCTTTGCACAAATTTTGTGCATAAAAAATCTTTGTGAATAAAAAAATCTTTGCAAAAATCTGAATGCTGTTTCTGTATAGCTATGCATTTAGAGCAGCATAGTGTAATATAAGGTGAGATAATGTTCTGTAAAAAAACAGAACTGAAGATTTTCAGAAACACTGTTATTAAGGTGTGCATGCTATATTCTATGTGACTTAAAAAAAAGTAAATGGAAAAAACTGTCTAACCAAAAGCAGAGGCAGCACTTGCTCTTTGTAAGCTCCATACACTCCAAGGATAGAGAGCAGGATGGTTGCCAAACCGAATCCGACACTGAGGAACACACCCTGAGTCCATCCCTGAAATCAAAAACCAAAAACAACACCTTATGGCCCACTGGAATATTTATGCAGGAACACAGGTTTGATCCAATTAAACATATACACACTCTGCAGGGAGGTAAATATGAAACTGCATTACTTGTATGCACAAAAACTGAGCATTTCATGTGCTGTAAAAATCTTTTTACTGCATTGGATTGGTCCAAAAGAAAGATTAGGAAAGACTGTTTCAGAGCAAAGGCAACATCTAAAATTACAATATCCAGCTACAGAACAAAATAAACATAAAGAGTGAGATAACAGCAGTAACAAATTCGCTCTGACAAAAAGGCAAGTGTATAATAAACGTATTTTACTTGCCTCCAAAGGTGCAGCTTTAACACTGTTTGCAACTATACCAAAAAGAAGCAAGATCACCCCAAAGATCTAAGGGTAGAAAGTGAACAGGAATAAATGTGCAGTCTATAAAAAGAAGTAAAAACACCTCCACAATTGCCTTGTATATTAAGACACATCAAGGATGCCCCAGCTAACATCTTACCGCGAGCAGAATGTTGAGAACAATGCATAATCCTCTCGTGTAGGTGCTCCCTTTAGCCATTCTGAACAGAGCGAGGGCACTTGGGATCCAGCCCTTATGATAAATAAGCAGAGGTCCAGGCAGTGTTTTTAATGTGGTTCTTGGCAGAGGCCAGGCTGATTTAGAGCTGTTTAAAGATACCTCATCAAAATGTTTTGGTTATAGCAGTGGAAAATGACCAAATTTGGAATCTCAAATGCCTTTACTGGACCCTTGAGCAAATCTGCATGACATTCTTGGCCACAAGAAAGACTGTGTTCGATTGGATGCACCTCACAGTCTGGCTGTTCGGCTTTTGGTGGACAGGGAGGACTGTTTCTAATGAGCTGAAATTGGTGGTGGGAGAAGTTGGGCTTTGGGCGTATTTCCTCAAATTATGAGAAATTCCTAAGACCACTGGAGTACATAAACAAACTCGCAGTGGCAGCAGTTATTATCTCAAATCACACAAGCGCACACACATACACACACACACACATTTACACACACAGTGAACTGGACATGGTTGACATTTCCTTGAGATAATGCTCTGTCAATACTTGTACATAGTTGGCTTTCCCCTTTCAAAGAAAAAATGCATGTGCGCGCACACACACACACACACACACAAAGAGAGAATACATCTGGACATACATGGCATGTAAAACATCAGGCATTTTGACAAAAAGTTCTCACAGGCCTAGCTAGAGTAGTGAAAGTTCAGCATATCAGATTTTAACCCATTTGCCTGAAGGGTGATAATTTCCCCTAGAGACTGACCAATCCAACTTTTCTTCTAGAGAAAAACTTTTGCTGAAATGTTGCTCTTTTATGGGTCAGGAGGCTTAATGGTGATTCTCCTAAAACTGCTTACGTAAAACATCATTAGACCAAAAGACATGTATCAAAACTAAGAAGCATCTTGACTTGTATGAGAAATAGTTGTGTTGCTATTAGGGGTGGGAATCTCTAGGCACCTCACGATTCGGTTCGTTTACGATTCAGAGGGCTGCGATGCGATTATAAAACGATTATCGATGCATCTTTTTTTTCTGTATAGCATTTATATTTTCTCACTGTGTGAGCTTAAGTTTCGAGTTCAAGTTTCAAGTTTATTTGTCATTTGCACAACATGTCAGGATATTTATGCATTGAAATGCTTGTGGTGAGGCTAATCACTCTACAGAAAGTAAATAAGTAAAAATAAAAATACAAGAAAAACCAACTGAAATATATTAAAAATACATAAAATATACACAGAATATATACAGAATGTAGAGACAATATACATTTTAAAGTGACTAAGTGACTCGGTGTTATTGTTATTTAAAGTGACTTAGTACTTTTAAAGCAAAGTATTTGTAATGATCCATAATGAATTTACTTCCAATATCTTTTTTAATAAAACAAATGGAAGTGATGTGGCAAGTGAACTAGAAGGCTCTCATTCAGTGCTCTTGTTCAGAGCACGAGAAGCTGCTGCTACTCATCTGCGATAAAATGCGCAGTTACGGTGAAAAAAGATCCAGTGGCAGTGGATGTCCACGCAGCACGTTACAGCTATTCTACCCGTTTTCTTTAGTAATTTTATAACTTCGGTTTTGGTCTCGTTGTAGAGACGGGGGGATCGCTGTGTCAGGAAAATATCTTTGAGACGGGACGTGTGCAACATAGCGCGAAAGCCCTGTTTTGCAACGACTGAGAATTGCCCTGCAGACTGCAGGTCACATAGCAGCGATGCGTTATTCGCATTTATAAGCAGCACAGCTGGTTTCCTGGTACGTTAAATCTGCAACGAGAGACTGTCAAACAGTAAAAAGTGGCGAAGATGAAATCGCTTCTTTCGAATTCTCCCGTTCCACCTTAAATAGTGCCGCATTTACGTTCGGCGCCTCAGTTAGAATTCAAGGTGGAACGGGAAAATTCGAACAAGAAGCTGGAGAATAAGAAGTGACTTCAGCCTCGTAAAACAGTCGTTGAGAGACATTTTACAAGAAACTTATCTACTTCTGAAGAAAAGTTTTCTGTCGGAGATGGGAGGAAAGCGGCTATAGCTGAAGCTTAAAGCAGAGCGAAGTAAATCTGCGCTCTCGTTTATATTGTTTAGCCTACTCAGACATTATCACATACTGAGACATACTGGACATTAAATGTTGTGGCTCCCAAGGTGGTTTGATTTTTGTTGAAAGGACAAAATGTTAACATTTGGGTTGTGACTCCTGATCTAACCTGGCTTTAATGCAGAGGGTTTCTCGCTCTTCCACGTTTTTGTTATGTGCCGCCACAGACTGTCCGGGCGCTGCACTTCCGCACTTCCAAGTTCCGCCTTTTGCATTCCGTCAACATTACGTTATAAATTAAATATTTAGAAAATCGATTTTTTACATTTGTGAATCGATTCAGAATCGTTCACGTCCGCATAGCGATGCATCTAAGAATCGATTTTTTTTCCGCACCCCTAGTTGCTGTATTTAGTTCAGTTGTAGATAAAGATGAGTGTTATTGTGTTCACAAAGCTGAGCACAATGTGTGATTTTACTGAGATAGCAAAAGTAAAGAGGAGACACATGAGATTACTGGGTTCTTTTGCTCAGGAGAAACATCTAAACAGCCACAGCTGACTTAGTCAAAGTTTCATTGTCATCTAGGATAACTACAGAGATATGAAGGAGATCACTTTTTGATTTTTCTTTCCTAAAGGTTCTCTTAATACTAATTCCTTCATATGAACTCAGACAACACCAACTAGGGATTCAATACCACTTGCTTTTCATATTAGCAAAGTACACAAACATAAAGATGGCCAAACACAAAAAATTACCAATCACAGCTAATTCCCTAGGTCATTTGTTTTCCATTTTATTACCATCTACAAAAATGGTACATTTGGGATGATTGTTAGGTAAACACAGAAGCAAGCAAGGACAGATTAGTGGCCAACCCCACAGAGGAAGGGAATTTCTAGAATTTCCAGGATAGTTCTGGAATATCATCTATGAGCAAGTCTAATGATGGTCACGGACCTCAAAAAAGATAAAAAGATGTGTCTGTGTAGTGCAATATACAGTTGTACATAAAGTTTGAACACCCCAGTCAAATTTCATTCTTCGTTGACTTTTTAAGTGAAAAAAGTAAACACATTCTGCAGGAAACATGAACTCAGCAAACAAATAGTAATTGTGCATTAAAATATGCAGCAGTGTGATCTTTGTAGAGGATGTGTTAACTTGCGTGTAATTTAATTATGATAAATTACAAATAAAATAATTGTGATGTATTGAATGACGATTCATGTAAATACAGAAATATTCAGGACACTGGGATGTGTATGAAGTGTTGTGGTAGTTTTAGTGCACTTTCAATTTTTTTTTTTTGTCTGTAGTTAAATACAACACATTCATGTATATCACTGACAAATGTGTACTCAGTTCATGTATCTGAAGTGTTTTATTTTGCTCTCAATATGTAATGATTTATAAAATGTGCATGTCATTTTGAGAAGGTGTTTGGAAATTTGAAAGCAAAGATACTGTTTCCTGAAACATGTGTAAGCAATTGAGAGAGAGAAAAAACCAGTATAAGCTCATACCTACCTATCCAGTATAATTTCCACTTACATTTAAGCTGAACTGCCAAAAATCTGCATTTTTACATGTAATTCTGGCATATTTCACATGTTCACAAATTGTAAGCAACAACTCATATATTAAAGTAGGAGTGGCCAAAATATTTGTCTTTGGGCCCAAAGTGCAATGTTTGTGGTGAGATGAGAACCAAACAGACAAAACTCAATCTTCAAAATCCCAGTTTTTATTAATGTAATGAAAATGAATAAAATGAGTGATTCCAAACTTTGGAAGAGAAGCACTTTTCTTTATGCTGGACCAGCACTCCCTAGGACCCGTGGTGGACAGTAACAAAGTAAGTACAGTAATTAATTGTGTTTAAGTAGTTTTTTTTTTATGTGTTTGTACTTTACTGAAGTATTTCCATTTTTGGTGAGTTTTTACTTTCACTCCACTACATTTCAAAGTCAAATATCTTACTTTTTACTCCACTACATTATGCAAAATCTGTTATTCCTTTTGGTGGCTTTTGGGTGTATAAAAACGTAACATGTCAGAACAAAAGAAGCGTGAAGCAAGCACACCAATCAGGGTACAGCGCACACTTTGTTTTGACCTGTTGTACACAGCTACCCAGTTCAAGCATAAGGTTTAACATCAGTGCAGCAGCATAAAAGTTTGGGAGTGCCTATGCCAACATGAATGATGGAACTAACTTAACTTGGTGTAAATAGACCACAATATATAAATATGTACACATTTGGGAGTTCAGACCATGCCTTCAACATGCGGCGGTAGTATGAGGAAGAATTGATTGAAGGAGGGGGGAGAACTCTGAGAACTTGGGCTGGAGTTCTGGACAGCTTCTGCCTGTAGCTAGAAGGCCAGATCCCCCCCTCATAGCTGTAGTAGGCCTGATGCAGGACTGAGGAACGGGGAGGAGATGGGGTGGCGGTGGGGATTGCGAACGTGTCATCACGGGAACAGAAGGTGAGGATGTGAATTTATAGGGTGTTAGATTGAAAGAAGGAGGAGTTTCAGCCATGCTCCTCCCCTCAAACTTCAGTTACAACATAGCTACATTTTATGAGTTCAGACCATGCCATCAACATATGGTGGTAGTATGAGGACGAACTGATTGAGGGAGGGGGGAGAACTTGGGCTGGAGTTCTGGGCAGCTTCTGCCTGTAGCTAGAAGGCCAGATCCCCAAAAGGCTCCAGGATGAACTCAAAAGCTGTTGACGTCTAGGACTGAGTGATCTTCACATGATGAGAAGAGCTGGTTCTGAAATAACAACTGTAGCAGCTTGGGTAGAAAACTTGGTAAGACTTTATGCCAGCGGAATATGGAGAGGCTGGATTCAGAATGAGATTGGTCAGACAGTCTAGCATTTGGGTATCTGAGGCATGGTATGGTTAGGTAGAGAAGTTTAGCCAAGGCAGAAAAGAGGTCTAGTAACATGCGCCCCTTGTATGGTGTTGGAGTAAGTAGTTTGCAATCAAGGATGTAAGGTGAGAAGAAAGATGGAGGTTTTGCTGCTTAACAGACAT